TGTTCGTTTTACCAAAATTCCTTCTATTTTTTAAGCCATTTTCTTGACATACAAAACAGAAATATAAACTGCATGAGAAACCAAACATGAGGCATTAAGATGAAAAAAAATAGCTAGCAACAAAAACTACTATGTAGAGATCCAATGTTGTTTTCAAATTTATGAATACTCCATTAGGTTTGTTTTTACTTAGCGAGTTAACGTATATTCATACTCTGTAAGAAATAAATCAATTTTAGGGGTTACTTGTAATTTTGGAAGATTTATAATTTATATATAAATATATTTTTGTGATCTACACTGATATACATGTTTCAGATGGGTTATTATCTGAAAATTGCTTAAAATGCTGCATGTAATACGAGAGTCTTCATAAAATACAGTTCTTAAGTTTATCTTCATCTGGTGCTTCTATTATTTCTGCCCTTTTTTTCTTTAGGAATCACTAACTTTGACTTTCCATACTTTAAGCGTTTGGTCTAGACTGGCACTACACACTAAAATCCCCCCCAAATTTTCATAATCACTTTTCATAACTGCGGCTAAGCACTTGACCGGTCCATGATGACCGTCGATAACCGCAAGGCTCGAATGCAAAGGACTTCCATGCTCTCGTTTCCATATACGTATAGTTGCATCCTCCGAACCACTAAGGATCAAACGACCTATAGTAGCCAGGCAAAGAATGGCAAAATGATGACCACGCAAGAACCCTGCGTGATTATACCTCCCAGAAATTATCTCCTTTCCCCAAAAGTTAATGATCCCGTCAGATGACCCTGAGTACAGATAGCAGTCATTAGGAGATGAGCTTAGAGCCAAGGCATTAATCGGACATGGTTGGGACATGAGCACCATAATTAGAATATGCGAGCTTTCTCTATAAACCCTTCTCCACATTTTCAGTGTCCCGTCACACGAACAAGTAAATACACACCTATCTTGTTGGTTCACCACGATTGCACTAACACGGCCTTCGTGGGCCTTAAATGATTCTGTGCATTTTTTCTCTAAGATTTTCCACACGTGGACTGTTTGATCGGCCGAGCCCATGAACAGAAGTTCCTCATTGGTGTCGTAGGCTAGGCACGAGACAGAGACTTTATTATGCCAGTGAGTGCTATTATTATTATTATTATTATTACCCTTCTTTGAAAATGGGAAGAATGATTTTCTTCTCGGGGGCAAAGTTGCTTTCTTCTTTAGCCGGAATTTTTGTGCCGGTGAAAATTCCCACGCGCGTGTTCTGCAGTCGCCATGTGTGGTGAAAAGCGTTTTACCATGAGCTGACATGGCACGAATTTCACCAGACGGGGTTTTAGCACAACCCATGTCCATGCATTCTGGTAATTTCCATGCGTGAATTTTACTCGTGGATGAGCCCGTAAAAATCGAGTCTTTTGTGACCGCTATAGAAAGAATGCTACCTTTACTGAAATGCAGTGATGCTAAGCAGTCATATAAGAAAAGTGGAGATGGTGAGTTTCTGTGCAAGGGAGACCGTGTGTATGGCGTCTCGGGGCTCATGGGGCAAACTGGGAATGATACTGCAGACACAGAGGAGATCCGTGGGGAGGCATGGGGACAATCGTCTTCATCATCACCATCATCACCATCATCATCGTCGAACGAAAATCCCACTGGTAAGTTCACATTTGTTTGTTCTTTATCATCGTATTTCCAGGGGCTTTCTTCACCGAACTCCATTGAATCGAATGGCTGGGGAAACTTTAATCTTTTATGTTTAAAGAAAAGAAAAGAAAAGGGAATGAAGGTTTTATATAGAATTTCAGAAGGTGGTGAACTTTTTCAGAAGCTTCTGTTTAGTATTGTTGGCTTATGGGGTCTTTCCTTTTGTATATTATTTTTATACAGATGAATGGCCTTGTGGCACAAAAGATTAAATGTCTTGTGAATTTGTTGTGAGTTTTGATTGTTTGTAGGAAGATGGTGAGGAGGTGGTTGATTGCAGTTACTTTCAGTAACATGGCTTAGTTGTCTTGATTGTTGAATTTAATTAGGAGCTGTATTGCTTTGATCTACCATGGATTTAATTATAGCCTCTAATTAAGGAAAGTCTGGTTATCTTCAAAAATAAGTCTCTAACAGATAAGGTGCACAAGGTGTAATGTTATTGCAGCTGGTTTTTGGTATAACCTCAGTTGCATTTTGATCCATTAGACATTTTCCTTTTGCTGTAACTGCATTTGTTTAGGGGAAATTGTGAAGTGCTATAAATTGATCCCTTCACTTTTGTTTGGTCTTCCCATGAACTCTCAGTAGAGCTATTAAACGAAATATAACCCCTGCGAGTTCGACTTTGCTCGACTGATTAGGGCTCAAGAGCTCGGCACAACTTGTTTAATCGAGCCCGTTAAATTAACGAGCCATGGCTTGACCGAGGTAGAGTATCAGGAGGTCAAACTCGCCTCGACTCGTTACACCCCTATCCAACCATACTTATTTCAACTTTTTTTATTTTTTTTTTAAAAAAAAGGAAAAAGTTATTACTAACTTTTCACATATATT